AAAAAAAAAGAACACAAACCAAAATATATCAAAAGATTTGTGTTGTGTGTTGCTCTTCCAACCTCCAAGTGACTTTTGCACCCAATACCAGCATACAAAAAGGATAAACAGATTAACAATGAGAGTCGAAAGTGCGAAATTGGTAGTATGGTGCTTTTTGATTGGCTCGGTTTCTTCCTGGACAGTATCACAATCATTTCAGAAGACTAGAGTTTTGGATGCTGGGGGGTTCCACCAGTTGCACATGTCCGACCCTTATTCGAGCTATCTCAATAACTGGAATAACCGAAGTGGAGATAGAAAGATCCCAAAGGAAGACCAAGACGAAGAACCAGAAGGACAAGCCAATACTCGTTTCAGTAAATTCGCACCTGAGACCAACCTTTCGACCGACGACTTTCGTGCGCAACTAAAAGAAAACATGAAGGCGGACTTGGAACGGCGACGAAGAGAAGATCCTAATCGAGGAAACCAGCCAGCCAAAAGTTACCTTGATAGTCTTTAGCTCTACTCTAGGAACTATCAAAAGTTTTTCATGAAAGGATTTGCATTGTCTTTCTCGTTAACTGCACACTTGCCGACGATCCGACAGGGCATGAATTAAGAATTAAGCGTTGCAGTTTTGCATTTTTGAATCCGTGGTCTCATCCTTATTGACTGCCATTCATTATTTTATTCCATAACCTGCTCTATGGTTGATATGTGTTGAGCCCAGTTTTTGGGTCGAGATTCGATTCCTCCATCGATAGTGTCAGTGGCCCTGGTCCACTCTTGGTGTAGTAAAATTGTTTGACATCTCCTGAAGCAGGCACCCGTCCTGTCTTATCCGTTGCTTCCAGTAACTCGGGGCTCAAGGAGAACTTCTGGACCTGTTCGATATACTCGGCATTGTTTATGTAGTCGCTGACGGCTCCAGTTTCAGGAAAATAGTGCTTCATCAGAGCCCCAACTTCCACCACATATTGATCCAAAGTGTACAATACAGCATTTGGACCAGCATCAAAGGTATACGCCGCTCGAATCTCGCCAGCCCATGCATTGTAGGCATGCACAATTCGGACAACCATTCGTGAAATGTCATTCATGTAAAAGATTGGAGGATAGGTATCCATACACACGGCATGAAATTGATTGGAATCCCGCATCGTGACTTTGCCAAATGCTTCAAAGTCCTTTTCTGAGAATGCTTTTTCGATTTCAATCATGCGATCGGGGACAACCTTATCGATTCGATGTTGCAATAGCGTTGATGTGGCCACGCTGGTACTCATGCCAGCTGTGCTGGAGGTATCCTTCTTGGCATCGCTGACTACCAAAATCAAGGCACGCAATTCCGGCCAATGGTGCTCATCTTGAACTTGCTGTGCCAAGGAATCGCTCCAATCTTCCTTTTCACCACCCTTGCGCCAGGCCACAAAACCACCATACAAGGAACGACATGCTGATCCAGATCCTTGTCGAGCCAGTGTAGATAACTGGCCAGGGAATTCTTCTTGAGCATCCACCAGTGCACTCATGGCTGCCACTAGTGCTGCATAGCCTGCTGCACTCGAAGCCAATCCAGCAGCAGTCGGAAAGGTATTGTACGAAGAAACGTGAATCTTGCAACCCTTCCATTTTTGTGGATTCTTGGCCAGTTTCAAAACACCGTCGACACAGGCACGAAATCGTTTGTTTGTTGGAGCGCCTTCATCTTCTATTCCATTCAACCAAAGGCGATCTTGGGTGAATTTGGAGGATGCCGCTGCAGTGGTGACGGCCCGCAAATCCGACTGATCCAAAGTCACGGAAACGGAATCGTTCGTGGGAGTATTCCAATGCTTGTCGGCCTTTCCCCAGTATTTGATGCAAGCAATGTTGGTAGGAGCAGACACTGTGGCCATGTAGATCGGAGCTTCTTCCTGATTGCTCATGATCAATGCGAATGGGTTTGGACGATGTTGAATAGTATTGTTTTGTAAGCACCTTTGCTTTCATTGACGATGATGTAGTCTTCCAATGTCATTGGGAAGCGCGCCATCTTTCGACCCATTCGATTAGGAATTCATGTCACAAAAACTACGAGGATAACACCACATCACAAATTTCTCAGAAGCCACCGTGACATGGAGCAGAGTATTTCTGATGAGCGTGACAAGAAGCGTAGATTTGACCTAGCTACTAGTTGCGAGAGCGATGATTGTAAAGTTGCTCAACATTCAGACGACCAAGCTCCTTCCAAGAAAACGATAACCGATGAGGCCAGAGCACAACAAGCAGCATCGGATGCTGATGATATATCTATAGGGACCAATTCGCAATGGCTGCTTTCCAGAAATGGTGATCCCCAGATAGTGTTGCATGACAATCTGGGGGACGCATCAGCAATGGTGGAGTCGTTGACTCATCGCATGGACAACTGGAGCATAACGAAACAATCTTCATCGTCATCGTCATCGTCGAAAACAAAAAAAAATGACAAGGCATACAAACAGAAATGCAAAGCAGCCAAGCGAGAGGTCATGAGGAGTATGTTAAAGAAGAGCGACCGAATGAATCGATAGAACAAATGTGATATGCTAACTTTGAAATGGGAACGCAGCGGACAAGCAGCTACAATGAGTGGGAGCGACACTTTTGTAGCCTTCTGTAAAATGGGCTCTTCCAGAACATGCTAATAAGAAGGTGGGGGCGGATATATGAAAGTCCCGTTAATCAATCTACACCGTGGGCAATGATTTGGGGGAAGTGAAGCTCCTTGCTTTGATACGTCAAACCTGCATCTCAGAAGCTGGGTAGCGTGCTTCACAACATGCCTTTTGCTGCAGACTAAACATAGGTAAGGTACACATCACTTTATTTTATCTTTCATAGCTCTTGTTCTGCGCCACGAGTCATGAATTCCTCCAGAATGCCCTTGCATGTGATGATTTCAGGAATGCTACCGAAAATTACAGCCCAGATCATAAACACCCAAAAGAAACGGATCGCAAACGGTAAGCTTTCTTTTCCCTCCTTGTTTGTCAGCAAGTCGTAAGTGGTATACAACATAGCAGGTGGAGCCGCAACAACCCGTAATAACACATAAATACTCGCAAAGATTGCTGGAAGGACAGAGTTAATGGATTGTGCCATGGGTCCATAACAGCATTCCAATTCCGAAGCAATGCCAAAAATGTAATATAAATTGTGGAAAGGATTGCTCAATTCACCCAACAACATGCACATCATAGCCGACATATGTCCAGCCTTGTAACCTCTTGCTTGAGTCATGTACAAACTGGTCACAAAGTGATGCCCCAAGAAAAGTTTATCGCCGAATGGGACAGGAGGAATCCAAAGTCCTGACGCTTGTTGCGCACGGTAGATTAGGAAAATAGTGTCATTCACCATGTATCCCGTGCAGAATTGTAGTAGTGCATTCACCAAATCTTGCCAGGCCTCACTTCCCTTCGATAAGTGTTCCGAGGGAACGTATTTGCGAGCCAACAGGGCTACGATGAGCCCAGGGCAAAGCAGGGTTGAATGGAAAACGGAGGGAATACTGGACGCTGCGCGATCGGTAACAACAGAATTTTCAGGCCAACCTAGGCCAGCCTCCAAGAACTTGTTTCCCAAAATGCGGATGGTAATAAAGAACAGGGTTGAAACCGAAACAAAGGAAATCGGTAGGCTGGTTCCAGGAAGATTGAATTCGGGGACACATTTGTAGACACCACGAACGATTCTCCCATAGAGTGGAAGGTCGCTGCTAGTTGAATCGCCTTTGGAGGACATCGTTGGCTTACACATGACAAAAGGGAGACTATTGCTCTGTCTTTTGTTTTGTTGCAGGAGTGCGGTGATGAAAAACGACTTCTGCTTGAACGTCACTAACTCTCATTTGTTCTGGTCGTCGATTTCTTCGAATACAAAGCATTCGTCCTAGTCAACTCGTTTTGCTGGTGGCAAAGATAAAAACTTGCGACCAGCACGATCCGAACTCCATTTGAGAAGATCAAGAAGATTATGAACAGCTTCAACAGGTGAGAAGCCACTGTCAGCGACTAAGAAGCGTAACAGTGCCTCTGGCGAAAAGGAAAACAATCATGAACGGGTTACATCAAGGTTTTACACTGCAGTTTCTTTTCCTTTGTCTAATTGGTTGGGCGGTTGCTCGCGTTGGTGCAGCTTCTGCCATCCGAGTTAGAGATGACGAGCCTTCTTTGGAGTACAAAAGAGTACATAACCATCTAGATACTTGGAAGGCATATTCGAGGAAGAAGCACACTGCAGCCGAGATGTGTCTCAAGCCAAAGACTACTAGCGAACCGTCTTTTCTGATACGTCCAATACGCCGTGTCAAAGCCAGCGAAATGACAGTTGAAGAGTTTAATTCCAAGTTTGTGCACGCCGACCGAGCACTGCCCATCATTTTTGAGGATGACAACTTTGACGATTCGGAATGGACACCTTCAAGCTTTATTGAACAGTGTGGTGATATTCCAATTGAAGATTCAGAAGACGAAGAACTTGGTGAAATACATTCGGTTAGAGAAGTATACGAGAGTTTGGTAGGAGAAAAATGGGCTGGACTAGGAGTTCCAGATCTAGACAAACACAACATTGTGACCATGGAAGACTTACTGAATGCCCAAGGAACTCCCGAGGGAAAAGGTCTCTACCTGCACGATGCCCCATTGTCGTGGCATTGCCCCCCAAAAGTTGACAAAATCAAGGTACCCAAATACTTTCCTCGAAATTATGATGCTCTCTTGTGGCAACCAAAGGACCTTGGCAAAACGGCAGTGGAATTGGAATTTCAATGGCCATCCATTTTCATTTCAAAAGCGGGAACTGGATCTCGGCTCCACAGCGACAGCCGCATGACTCGGTTCTACACGCAAGTATTGCATGGAGCAAAGCTCTGGCGCGTCACACCACCTTCTGAGTACTGGCGCCTAGATCCCCAATCAAACCCCGAGACGACGTTCTATCCAACTATTTTTGGTGCCGATATCATTGAACCAGATTTTGAGAAACATGAACACTTGGATGGCACCTTGGTCTATGAAACCATTATGAAGAAAGGCGACGTGCTTTTCTTGCCACATGGATGGCCACACCAGGTTCTCAACGTGAAAGAATCGGTTATGTCAGCAGTCAACTACTACGATAGTACTGTTTTGGATGTTGCCAAGCAGTGCCTCGAATTCGAAGAATACGAAACAAATGATCTGTATGTGATCAAGGCGTTCTTTATGCCATTGGATGATCCTGTCTTCAACGATGGTGACCCAGAGCAAGACATTTCTTGGTCAGATTTCTTGCGAGGCCAGCACCTACAGGTTGCTGAAGTTCCAAAATGGTTGATTGAAAAAGTGAAGAAGGAGCCACACTGGATGATCAACTATCGCGATCTTGATGGCTTCCCTGCCCTCCATGTAGCAGTCGAATACAACTTTATGAAACTAGTCGCTTTTTTGATCGAGACTGCCGGAGTGAATGTCAACTTTATCGATCGCTTGGGCTCGACAGCACTTGATCTTGTCAGGGATATGAACTATCCAGAAATGGAAAAACTTCTACTCAACCATGGTGCCCTTTCTGCAGAGCAAATTCGATACAAGAAGGCAGCTAACCAAGAGCCACAGGCGAAGAGTCCTTCATCAAGTTGGTGGCCGTTTTAGCAATTTGGTCTACAAGTAGCTGGAGTGGTTACTCGATGGAGTATGCGCAAATTGCTTGACCTTGTCTGGATTAGCTACGATGTAGGACAAGCTGAAATACTTGAATGACCCCTGAGCACTTGCAGCTTGTCAGAAATGGGAGGAAACAAAGACCGTGAAATAACAGCAGCAGAAACAGCTTTGAGCTATGAAGAATCTGCACCTTCCACAAAGGAAGAAGAAGGGATCGGTATCAAGCTTTGGAGTTGTTTGGCATGAGGATAGATGCCAATAATAGCCGCAGCGAGATCAGAGTACAGTATAAGTCGGGCAAAAGTAAATCGATGCGCTAAATTGGTCACCGCCGCTCGAAGCACTTCAAACAGCCTACAAAAATTGCGAATAATTACTGTAATTTATGGTGGCGATATTATAGAACAAAATTGAAGTGTGCAGCCATTGGCTTCGGCGATGATCGAGAAAAGACGAGATTATTGCATGTTTTTAGAACCATGATTGAGAGGGGTATGGACTTAAACCATTGTAAAAGGAAGGGCGAGATGGCAATTGCATACCATCCAAATCCACATAGATTTCGACCCAACCTTTTCCGTGGCGAGCAAGATCGCCAAAGGGATGACTCGTTTGCGAAGCAACTGCAAGCGCTGCACGCCGACCCCAGGGCTGCACAGTGATTCGATCAGTGACATCAATGTCATTTCCCTCGTAAATATCATCAAAGCAGTTTTCCAATGCGTATTGAACTGCTATTCCTCGGGTTCTCGAAAAGTTTTCTGCAATTCCAGAAGGCGCAATAGTGCCACAGTGTGCGTCCACTCGAACTGTCATGCTTGGAAAAATGGTCATCATATGGCTTATCAGGTAGATTCTTTCTAGAGAACCTCTCACTTTTGTGCTTCGAATAGACCTTTCGATGGTGTCTATGTCATTATCGCTGCTGTTGTCGCTATCATCATCACTACTGTCCATAGCAATCTCTGCACTGGCGTAGTCGAAACCGATTCGGTTCTCCTTCAGGAATCCTCCTTTTGATAGCTTGAGAACTAGCGCTAGCTGTGGTAGAGTATGGACATCTTCGTTTGATGTCCGCTGTCGAATGTACTCCGGTATAGATTCTTTGAGAAGCCTGCAAGTTTGTTGGTTGCAACTCTGAAATTGCACAAAATCCTCCACATCCAGCCACATGGCAATCGACACCACCAACTCCGGAGGCAGCAGGATTTCAATCATGGACGATCTTCGCCTCTTGCGTTCCATGATAGTATCCATTTTCTATTGCCAGAAGAAGAAGATGATGATTCGATCATTATTGTGTTGTTTCCATTCTCTGGATTGGAAGCTATGTTAGCTCCGTTAGTCTAACGTAGACGAAAGCTCGAGAACGAATCATTGGATTCCTTTCATCATACTGACGACGGTCGAACGACCGTCACAACAGCATTGCTCAGCAACACCAAGTCCGATCAGTTTATCGAACTTGTGTACCGGTACGAGTATACGTCAAGAAATAAGGTTTAGATGAAGAATTTCCAGAACAGACAATCGATTCATTCGATCACATTCATTCATTCATTCGTTCGTTCATTCTCATGCATTCTCTTCTGACGACGCAATCTTGTCAAATTTGTCCACAAAGAAGTTGAAGACCTTTCTTACATACAGTAGCTGCAATCATATTCGTTCGTTCATTCATTCATTCATTCTCATCCTTGTGACGACGTAATCTTGTCAAATTCTGCCACAAACAAGCTGAAGATCTATCTTGCAGATTGTCACTTGTGAAATCACGCAACATCATGTCGACTTTCAGATTCTCATGGCGCTTCGCAGTGCTGGTTGCCTTCGTTTGCATCTCGTCATCACTTGCCCAAGGCCTTCCTTTCTTGATTTTCAATGGGAAGGTTGAGAATGATATAGGTGAACCTATTCCAGGAGCCCAGGTTCAATTCTGGCATACCGATACAGAGGGTAACTACAACCATCCAAATGCGGGGGAGATTCCACTTGATCCCAACTTTCAATACTATGGCACGGCTACGACCGATGACAGTGGCGACTTTCAGTTTTTGACACGACGCCCAGGAATTTACCTTTCCCGCCCAGTGACCCATATTCATTTCAAGGTCTGGTTGGATGGTGCGGATGTATTCACGTCTCAATTCTACTTTCGAGACGAAAACACATCCTTCAACGAAATGCTTATCTTGGACCTTGTTGAAGCTACAGATATGGTCGGTGACAGCGTCATTCCAACATTTTCAACCAACAAGACCATTGTTCTTGACCGAGGACTTGGCGGTTCAGGTCCCTTTACCCCACGTCAAGGCGCTGGACCTTTCTATCCAAGAGAGGATTTCTTTAGTCTCGGAAGTATTTTGATTGACATTACTGCCGATGAACAACCAGGTACGCCAGAACCATCTGCTGCACCAGTTGCTCCAACGATTCAGACTCGAGCCCCGTCCTCCAGTTCGCCTGTATCAAATGATGTCTTTAGCACTGCTCCAAGTGTCACAACAACCACCACTGACGAAACTTCTTTCTCCGTCATCAGCTGCCAACGAAAGTTCCTCTCCATCAACAAGCACGGGGCAAACTTCTTCTCCTTCCGTATCCCCAAAATTAAGAGACTCGTCTGCAAATCAGCCAGCCATCACGCTGGCTGCTTTGGTTGGATTCATAGCACTAATAGTCTAGATACCATCTTACTACAGTAGAATGTTTTTATTAAAAAAGAAAGGATACCTCACCATAAATGACGTGGTCATCAGAAATGACTAAGCTGACCGCAATCACAGGAGTCAAAGAGTGCGAGTGAGTCCCGCCTCCATTTTGTTCGATCGACATCCTGAAGCACACCTGTAAACTGTAAACCCTCATCATCTTGTTGACTGGCAATTTGCAATTGTATAGCTTACGGGAAAGGAAGCAACGAAAATAATGACAGAAGAAGAGAAAGAACTGACCCCAGAAGAGCGAATGCAATGGCTTCGTGACCGGGTATGTCACTTCCACCTCTTGTGCTCATTGTGAGATGAAAGAACAACCGCTTTATCAACCATCAATAATCATCTAATCCTACCTTTCCGACACTTGCAGGGAATTTTGATTGAAACGCCAGAAGAAAGAAAGTGGCAATCTGAAGCTGAAGCTACAAAGTCCAGCTCGTCAGCACCGACGGAGACAGTATCTTATGTTTTGGTTCCCGCAGATTCCAATCTTCCTATGCAGGAACTAACCTTTGAATCTTCACAAGACGTCGGTGGCGATGGGCTTTTGGAACACGTCAAACCCACCTTTGCCAAAGACAGCAAAAAAGTTGATTTGAGTCTACTTCAGCAACCATCGCCAATGCAGATGGGATCCTCTTCTCCTGGAAATGTTTCTGAAGATGCTTTGAAAAAGGTGGCACAAGATGGCCAGGTCGAGATTTTCAATTTGGTTCATCCTACACCATCCAACAAATTTGTCGGCATCAATATCTATTTGGACGAAATCGGACTGTTAAAACGGCTCCCACTCAATAACCGAGCCAGTGACTTTGCTAGAGATGTGGGTTATAATCCTCCCCCACAGTTTTATGGAGACGTCTTTCTAGGCCGTGTTCACAGGCGAGGTGCCATCCTAATACGGAACATTTCATTTGTTCTGAATGATACAATACCAAATGCTGACTGGCTGCAACAAGGAGCCACCCAGAACTTGGAGTACCAAATGGAAATGAACCAAATAACAGGGCGACAAGAGACGCAGACTGAAGTCGCGGGTAGTAATGGTGTTGCAAGTCAGGAAGTTGGATATACTTGGACACAAACAGAAGAAGAAGTTGAGGTGGTGGCCCCTCTACCGAATGCTGATATCAAAACCAAAGACATCAAGATCAAGTTCAAACCTCGTCAAATTGAAATATATTGCCAAGGCGAAAAACGTTTGTCTTTCGAGATATTCGAAAAGGTGGACGTTGATGGCTGTACCTGGACTATTGATAAGGTAAATGGCCAGTCTTCAATAGTAGTTACCATGGAGAAGATGGACGAGGCTCTATGGCCCAGGATCGAAAACTAAAATACTATTAATAGCAGTCAAAGTATTCGATTGCCATTTTCAGCCTACAGCTGGAACGCAAGCAAGGCTTCAACAACAGTTGATCGAATTTTGACCTGAACTCTGAAAGATACCACTTGACTTGCTTCATTCTCAGCTAACTTGAAATAGAATGAAGTTTCCACCTTTTGCCGTTTCAATATTTGTACTGTTCGAGGCCATCAACCATGCAGAATCCTTTTCGAGTCGCAGCAATGCTGGAATGGCTAACTATGGAACGACGAACACTGCAAGAAAGGTTAAAAATTCAATTGCCCCAGAAGCGACTGAAACCACGTCTAGGCAGGTGGAGCAACGGCGTGCGCTTGGATCGCAAGAAAACTTGATGCTGCCGCGACAATACAGCCCAAACAGTGATGTCGTCTTTCCACAAATGAATCACGTTAGTTGTGCAATTCTGTCGTCGACGCCAAAGGAGGCAGCTCTTCTGGAAGCGATCAACCAAGTCATGAAAGCGCACCCACTGCTGCGCTGCGAGATTGAGGGCGACGGAGAGCCAGATGAAAGAATAGATTTGTTCAAAATGGTGCGAAAGGGAGATCCCTCTCCATGTACGTTTGCGAGCAAAGAGGGTACCTTTTCTGCCACCGACGTCCTTCAGACAGTTGATGTCGACGGTAGTGATCGCGGAAGCTTGGATAGAAGCTGGCAAACCGCTTTCAACCGAGATTTGGATGACGGTAGCTGGTGTGATGTGGAGAAGACACCTCTGTGGAAGCTTGAGTTCCATCGAACCAATGATGGCAGTGATGCCCCCTCTGCATTATTGCTCTCATTCAACCATGCGATTTCCGATCAGAGTAGTGCCAACAAGTTGACTGATCAAATTGTTAACCTCCTTGCACAGATCGATACCAAAGGAGCCGTTCAGAGTAAGCCAAAAGAGCAGAGTATGCCACCATCTGTCGAACAATCTGTTCTTGGTGAAACAAACACATGGGGTGACATCGGGCCATCTGGCGTTTCCATTGATACAATAAAGTATGTCGGTGGCAAAGCACTAGAAGAAACAAAGGAGCCTGTTATACTTCCAGATGGATTTGGTAGCGGGGGTGGTGTACTAGGTGCTTTGGCCACAATCTCGGGTAATGCTGCTGGTGGAGAGGATAGTAAGAGTACGAAGCGCAAATCCGTTGTCGAATTCCGGACCCTTTCGAAGGGGGCAACATCTGCTTTGTTGTCGAAGTGCAGAGAGAATGGTGTATCGATCACAAATGCTCTTTCGGCAGCGATTACCATGACTTCCACCGATTTTGTTGATGGAGGAAGGGAAACAGACAAGGCACGAAACTACAAGGTACTGCAGTCGCTGGATATGCGACGATTTGGAGAATGTGTCGATAAGGGCGAGTCTGTTGGCTGCCTAGCTGGATCAATGGATCTGATGTATGGACCGCTCCCTGATAGATCTGGAGAAAAGGTACGACTGCGATGATTTCAAACACGGCTGTCGTACCGAATTTGCTTACACTTACGTTTCAATCATTCACAGCTTCGGACATCGCCCACAACGGAAGATACGAATCTCTTCTGGGAGATTGCAAGAGAAGGAAAGTCACAAACAGAGGCTTTTATTGAATCTGATGGGCCTTCTCATGCAGTTCGCGTTTTCGATTTTGCCATGACAATTTCTGACTTGAACAACCTTGTTCATTTGACTGCGCAATCCAAAGATAGTCAAGGCCGAGCGTACAGTGCAGGATTCACTAATGCTGGTGTTTACGAGCGCTTGGATGCATTTGAAATGGAAAACGAAGATGGAAAGGCTGTGCAGGTAAGACTCTCGTTTTCTCATGCGTTCTTTAGGCTCCATGATTCCATCTGACCGGTTTGCAGAATCAACATGGCAAGTACAAGATTGATAATATTTTCTACGCTGCGTCGAATGCCAGAAGTGGTAGCCTATATCGTTTCTCGTGTATGACTGTCAATGATGAAATTCAGTTCACATTCCATCCAGCAGCACCTATGGTTGATGAAAAGACCAACAGAAAGTTTGCGGATGCTGTAATTGAAACTCTCGAAGTAGTTTCTGGAGTCAAGGACATCGAAATCTCGGACCCCAGCCCCCTTATCCTTCTACCCAAGGACATCCTGGTAAAGATAACCGCGTTAATTGGCACTGCCGCTCTTTTGTCCCATCTCGGAGGATACTACAACTTCTTTCAAAGTGTCCTTGAAATGAAAAACAATGTTGAACCAGCCGACTTCTGGCCTGCTTTGAACTTTTGGATCTTCTTTGCTGTGGGGCATCCTATTCTACAGCCTATTCTTTGGATCAGTGACGTGCTTCATGGAAGTCCTGGTCCGTTGGTTGGGAATCTAGTGCCAGCCACCTTTATTGCCGGCAACCTGTTGGCCATTGCTGCTATTTCCAATGTCGCACAGATTCGAAATGCCGTCAACGTGGGTGCACTATTCACTTTCCTCACATATGTTGGGGCTGGGCTTGACGGTCAAGCAGGACTCGGCGACTTCAACCTCGCACTCGATGACAACTACAAAGGAAAGGTTGTCAAGGGATGCCCGGCATATGAAGAAGTCAGACAACCCAGCATGGATGACTTTGACATCAAGAAATATCAAGGTTTGTGGTACGAGCAAAAGTTCCATGACTGGACCCAGTTCAAGGAGGTCTATGATACGACTCTTGGTATCAAACTCACAGCAGATGGAAAGGGGTGGATCGATGACTTTGCTGTAAAGGGACCGGCACCTGATTCAGCTCCTCTGTCGTGGGACAAGAGTCCAGTAGCCAATGGAGCGCACTACTTCTTGTTTGGTAGAATTGACGAAAATGATCCAACTGGAATTTTGAGAGAAAAGGGATTTGGAGTCGAATTTCCCAACTACATTGTCGATGTCAAGAAGGATCCAACAACAGGTACGCATGGCATCACGCACTTCCTTCAAGCAGTCTCCCCCTTGCTTAACAGTTTGCTTTGTGATTGTAGGCGAATACACAGAAGCGATCCAGTTCCAATGTCTCCAAAGAGGCGGAGTTCGTGTCTTCGAGGGGATCAACTTTATGTCCCGCAACCCATCCATGTCGGACACTGAGATGTCAGCTATGCATGCTCGGGCCGAAAAGGCAGGAATGTATCCTTGTGAGTATTTTGGGTGCTTGTTTCCTTTTGCAGTATCATGTGAATGGATGACACTCACGCTTTGCTGCCTTCTCTTCTCTAGATGGTGCAAGCCCAGAACAAATGCACACAGTTGCTAGAAGACCGGTTGGTGCTCCTGTAGTTGACAATAACTGGCAACAGATGTGGAGAGCCATCGGAGTGGACAAGCTTCTCGAGTTGTTGACCGAATCAATAGAAGACGGAGGACGCTAAACGAATAAAATACTGTAGTGCTACGAGATGCATACAGGTATCGTTACATGTTAGATCAAAGTCTAATAATATTGTGTCGGATATTGATCTTTTAGCAAAAATATCGTAGAACAGCGGCCAAAAACTCCTCCGAAAAAATGAAGAACTGGAGACCCAAAAAATGACCAGTTTTAGTCACCTGGCCAAGAAGCTTGGGCCTTGCTTTCCAACCTACAGTACTGTACAGTAAAGGTATGAGGCTCCATGAATGAATACTGCAGTGGCTGTAAAGCAAAGAAGACAGATAATGAATAAGTAGGAAGTTCTATATTTTTATAATCTAAAATCCCCATTGAAAATATGTTTTCTATGGTTCTGCTTGTACGCGAGCGCGCTTGTTGCTCTCATCGTTTGCCTCATCATCCGCAGCATGATCGAGTGCTCTCTTGTTGGAAGTGCTCTTGGATTCATCGTCTCTGTTTTCAATAGTTTCAGCATCTGAATCATTTTCGGCAGAAGAGTGAGCTGGCTTTTCAGCCATTAAACTGCCATCGTCGGAATCGCTTCCATCTTCAGCAACTGTCCCACCATGAAGACGGGCCCACATACGCTGAAAGAAGATTTTTCGAGAGCCATATCGAGGGCGGCCGGAGGTCATGCCTTCTTTGACTTCTTGGTGCCTTTGCAGCTCTAGAACTGCTTGGCGCACTTGTGGAGGACAGAACCTGCACTTTCCTCCGATATGCTTTAGAATCGTTTGACTCGTGGTTGTTTGCGCCAGGGATCGGACAGAGTTGGGGTAATACCTTCCGAAGCCCGGTTGTCCTCCACAGTGTTTACAGCACATTCCAACAAAGCCAAGCTCGCGGGACTTGTAGCAACCCACGCGATCGGCTTGTGTAAGTTTGCACGGTTTCATTTGGGCCATGGCCACAAAAAGTGCGTCTGGAACCAGATCGCGATCTTTCATCAGCACAAGGTCACTACCTTCGAGTAACCTTTCCCAGGAAGGATCAAAGGCTGGAGTCTCCTCGAGGAGAGCAGGAGTGCGCTCTGCAGCCAATAAGGCTCTTTCACGATCCAAAAGCGCCACAGCTTGATTCGCACCAGCTGATCGCTCCAGAAGAGCTTGTTCTAGTCGAGATGTAGGGTAGCCGTAAAGAGAGCCCAAAGGATATGGAAGAGGTAGTTTGTGCAATTGAGCAGCAGCTCGTGCTGCTTGAGAGTGCTGTAATGGCAGTCGTGCTGCTTCCAGTTGACTCAGCGTGTGGTGGCCTGGTACTTGCTGCTGCACGTTTCGATGTTTCAGTTGGAGGAGGAAATTGGCAACTTCTTGCGCCTCATCAGCTCTGGCAGCTTGAGCTGCACGAAATGACTGTTGTTGCTGTTGTACAATGGCTGATGCCATTAACCTAGGGTCAATAGAGAAGGCAGGATGGTTCATCATGGAGAGGTCTGATCGGAAATGAGTTTGGAGTTCTCGATTGACACAGAGGATGGGAAAGTCATTCTCTTCATTCATTCCTCGCCAAGAGACTGTTCGCTGCGACAGCTGGTAGAGTTTACACGTGTCCCTACGGCGTATCGTGGAACAACCTTATTTATTGGCACAACGGTTCAAAGTGGATTTGACTTCAAATCAATGTGTCACAATTCGATAAGCGGATGGATTATCGATAAAATGATGGGTCAGAAAGTTCATTTTACTTTGTTAAAAAACGCAAACACGGTATTTAGCACGTATTATATTTTTGTCGAAGAAACAAAAACATGACACCTGTCTCATTCGTTGCAATCTGCCGGTGCAAAAAATGAGCTGTGCAAAGGATTCGAAAAAAATAGTGTTCTTCATCAGACAGTCTGTCTTAGTCCGGTTGGCGAGGAGACGATGGACGGACGATGGACGATCGATGATCGACCATCTTATCTCAATCTCGTTCGCGTTGACGCAGCTCCCCATCATCCCTCGCAAATAACAGTATTGTACCACAAACTTCATAGATCTTCAATATGTGGAGAGCAGGACGTTTGTTACTTCGAAGTCATCAACGACGAGTAACAGGAAATATATTGGCAGCGCAATGGAATGGTGTAGATCAAACCTTTGCTTGCTTTGGCATCAGGTCCTTTGCGCGGAAAGTGGGGGGTGATTTGGGTGATCCCGATGAAGAGCTACGGGAAATGCAAGAAGTAGAGGCTGGGAAGATTCGAGCAAAGGAAATCTCGGCAACTGATATGGAGTTCTACAGCCAATTAGTTGATGACGACTCTGACGACGAGGAGGACGAGAACGCTTTGTTGACTGAGGAGTACAAACGTAAACAAGTAGCCATTCAACAAGAATTAGACTCTCGGACTGGACGAGTGTGGAAAGATCCATGGGAAATCAGCGAAGAGCGATGGATGAGCACAGCAACTTTCGACGATCTTCCCAAGTGGACTCCAGAATTTGTCTCACGCGTCAGTCAAGAGCGCGTTCAAATCCATTCTGGTAGGTCATGGGTCGGCCCTTTAGACCTTTTCTGACAACCTGCTGTTTCTAACAATGGACTCTTCGCTGCTTTATTCTCCAATCACTTCGTTTTTTTTGTGTTTGAATATCTCTCGTTTGCAGATGGTATCCCAACGCTTTCAACCCTTGCATCTATGAGTCTGCCCGAGCCTGCTTCACCAAACCCAGGAGAAGGCAAGACCAAGGACTATGCCACATACAGAAAGAATTTTCATTACAAGTACATAGAGGCAAAGGTGATGGAACTAGCAGAACCAAAGTTGGAAGGCATTCTTAAGCTCACAGATATGAATGACAAGCAAGATGCCGTGGATGTGTTGTTTGAGACTGTTGAAGAAGAACTTCGACAAAAGGAGGAAATCCTTGGCAAACACCCCCATTTCAGCAAGTGGGTCGAGAGAGCGCTTGAAACGTACCTTCAAAATGCAAAGAAGACAGGAACGGCACAGATCAGTGGGCATGGTGCGGCGGATCCCCAACCGGTGTTCATGGACTGCTTCGATGATAATGACGCGGATGCTATGGTTCCATCCATACTGAGCCCCCTTAAACCACATCCACAAGACGGTACTGGCAGAATGGTCGAAGACTGGGAGCTTTCAGCTCACAAGAAGACGAAACGAATTCTCATCCGAGAGAGTAGCAGCGTCATTGCTCAGGCTTTGGAAAACAACGAATCGTCTAAGATATTTGTCCACGGAAGAAAAGGGGTTGGCAAGGTACGCAGCTGTTGGATTTGTGAATTGGCAAGAGTGTTCTGCCGTTTCTAATATGTCTTGATTCCACCTCCAAAGACTGCTGTCCTTGCTTCCGTTGTTGCATCGGCACGTAAATCTGGATACATCGTCATGTACTTACCAGATGGAGATCGGCTCCGAAAGAACGGTTACTTTGTGACACCAAATGTTCTTCGAAAGGGCATGTTTGATTTGCAAAACTTGTCACAAGAAGCATGCGCGCAGTTGCTAGAGAATCATGGAGAAGATCTCCAAGGCTTGGAAGCAGACAATGAATCCATGACGAAGTACTTTGAGGAATCTCAACTGTCAAAAGTCACAGACTACAATGGAGAAAGTATAGCATTAGTTGACCTCCTCAACTATGCCGAGGAGAAAAAGAATCATGCCCCAATGTGCTATTCCGTGGTTGTTGACCGACTCATGAGCCAGGACGAAAAACCTTTCTTGATGGTTATGGATGAATTCAACTGCTTCTATGATCGCGGCCACTACTTCCATATGGCATACGACGAAGACGTCCGAGAAGCGATCCCCTACGATAAAATCAACCTCTTTGAACATGCAATGTCAGCAATGTCCTTGTCTGCAGATGAGGATGAAATCGAACCAAAGGAGCCGATGCAAATAAGGCGTGGTGGTATCATTGTTGGCACCACCGAGTCACATGCAGTCCGACGAAAGGTGACAAGTGCTCTGGTGGATTCTGCACAAAGCCGAAGTGGCTCAATTCAAGTGGTCGAAGTTCCAAGATTCTCAGAGATTGAGGTGGAACATATTCTTGCAAATTTTGAAGCCACAGGTATTGGAAAACTTCGACTGGATCGAGGAGACACTGTCATGGACGAGCAAGAAGTTGAATATCTGAAGATGGTTTCTGGACGCGTTGGGCAAAAGCTACTCGATGCTTCCTTCCTGTGAGTTGGCTGGGCACACGTCCAGTATCGACTGAACAGGCTAAACTAATGTACAATGTTTCCGCGTTCAAATCCCACAAATTCCACGAGACACCCACTCGACAAACTCGTTCGGCACGTTGCCAAGACAATTTAACCCATCGGGGGTCAGACGGCCCTGATCAGGGCCGAGTCCCCAAAATTGAACACAAATCACATCCGTTGAATAGCTTAATGATGGAATTAGACAGTACAATTTTACACACCTATTACCTTAATATAGTGGAAGCTTGGTTCAAAAATTTGGGTTCTCAGGTGATGTTCTCGAGCCACGAGATTTAATTTTCTTTTTTGACCGAATCGTGTTTCGACGAAATTTCCGTATTCATCGGATTGACCCCACTCCCACCCCATAGATCATTTCTTGATGTCCCAAAGTTGCAGAAATTACTTCCATTAGCAAGGCAATGCATTCTACAACATGTAGAGTATTTGAAAGGGTTGGTTACGCCCCCAGATCGCTCATTTTCCCATTTCAAACCAAAAAATTGACACCAACTTGTCATCCAGACCAAATCGAATTCCAAATACCTTACACTCCACTATTGAAGCAATCTGCACCCATCTACACCCTCTGTCATATTGTTACTATCGACTTGTGAAAACAGAATGATGGTATTATTGAACTGTGTGCCTTGACACAAGGTATATTGTCACAGATGAAGCTGATGGGACTGCTTGACTTCAGTCCCTAGTCAAAGCAATACGCAATTTACGAGCATTTTTGCGTATTGGAGGAAGTTTGAGATTTCGTCATCTTGGAGCCACCTCCGACATCTTGGAGAATATCAACCCAATGGCTCTACCCCCGGAAGCCCCAAAGTTACAGCGACTATTATCAAGTCTAGGACATGGAATTCGCTGATGTGTTCGATGTGTGGTAGTGTTGATCACCAAAGGCTCCATCCAATCGACTGCACAAAGGAAAATTTGCCGCCAACTTCACCACATCAACACCGGGAACATCAACAACCAACCTTCCTCCCAGCAGACGTACATCCCTTCCCATGCCGATATCTGATATGGTAAGGAAGCTACTAGGTTTTCAAGAGTCTATGTTGATATTATGGAGATTGCTGCCTTTGCAGTACGAATCGTCGCAGTTGCGAAATACGTTTGCATGGACGAGGCGATGGTATCGTACAGGATCTTCTTGTTCCAATTGGACTTGGGAATTGAAAATGATGATACTTTACATGGCTTAGCGAAACTTTTTCACCAAAGAGGTCGCCGAAGCGACTCCATTTGAAGCCGAGATTATCGACCACTTCACAGTATTTTCAAGTCCAGACAATCAACCGTGAATCGTCAATAAGAGTTGCAACCATACCCGCATACTGCCAACACACTATCCAGAGACTATTTAAGGTGTGATGGGCACAACATATGCATGGCTGGCTCAGTAGAAAGGCAGATCTACACCATGACTGCACTTGTTTTGCAAGGTGCACTTTGACATGGACGCATTCTGCTTCCATGGGAGACAGGAATTGCTCTGAAGATTCCCACCAAAATGCTGTCATATTGTCGGAACTACTTATTGAACAAAATGAGAGGGGTGAAGCATCATTGCTAGGTAAAATAGGGCCTCCTCAAGGCAAAAAGAGACCAATTCAGTAATTCAACAGTCTCGTGTCTGGGCTTGGGCATACAAAATGGTGGCAAAAAACGATGATAAACTAATTCTGATTTTTCCATTAGATTTGGAAGGGTTCATTTGCTCTATTTCTAAGTTTTCAGCTTAACCCTTTGATATCTTCATGAATTCCTGGAAACGTGTGTATTACATTTGAGCTAAGTTTTAGTGATTGTAGTTTTATGGTTCTACGCGCGCACGGTAGGAAATTTGTCGTTCAAGCAAAAAACTTTAAATGAGGTCGGCCCTGATCAGGGCCGAGTCCAAAAACGTGGATGGGTTAAAATCACATTTTCTTCTATCTTAAAACCTTGCAAGAATGTCTGCCATCCTTACCACCGAATACTCTTCACCATCAAGTTCCACTTCATTACCCATAAAATCTCTGAACTTGATGTAATCACCTTCTGATACTGCCATGTTGTCAAAGACTCCAGGCCCAACCTTCACTACTTTACCCGTCGATGGTTTGCTCTCACTGCTGGAAGATTTAGTAAGCAGAAGACCACCCTCCGTTTCTGTCTCCTTTTGTTCAACATAAACAAGAACGGAATCTCTGATAACATCACAGGACTCGAGAGTCAGGTCTGGCCCACTGAACTTTACAAGAATATCGTCATCCCGAATCAACGAGTGCTTGGTTCCTTCGATCTCAATTTCAGTGCCATCGTATCGGCCGTATACAACGCCTTCACCAAGTTGGATTGGGATTTCGAAAGGCTCTCCTGTTTCAGGGTGCGTCTTGCCTGGACCAACCGATACCACTGTGCCCTCTGTCTTTTGGATTTTTGATTTGCCGGCAAGAAGTATACCTCCCTGAGACTCCTCAATGGCATTTGCTACTTTCACGAGAAGGAAATTGCCCGCTGCCTTGACTTCAGTTGCTCCTTCAACATTACGTCCTTCCACCATGATATTCAAAGCAGTTTTGCGTGATTGCGAATTGAAGCCAGTGAAGCCATAGGCAGAATCAAGGGCCAATAGACTGGCTGCTGCAAAGAGGACCTTCATTGTATAATATAGATTGCGAGTCAGGGATATGTGTCAAAAGTTCGATAGATGTAGTGCACATCCCGTACCGGTACGGGTATCATAACCATCGAAAATCTTGGTGGTGGGACGAACGACAAACGTCAGGCGTCTGTGCGTCACAGAGCCATCAACTGTACTGTAACATCATCAATCAAACCAACATCCAACCGAAAACACGGTACCAGGTACCTACTGTATCCTAGAATCAACACCAATGATGAACCTCGCGCTTACAATTTTTTGCCTATTGGCCGTCAAGGTTACTTTGGGCTTCGTGCCTGTTACCCCAGGGCATTCTATGGCCACACAATTGAACATCAAGGTTGATGGAAGAGATGTCGAAAATGAGGTCACCCCAACAAACAATTTCATCCTAGTCAGAAAAGCCGTGGGCCAAGATCAAACGGAAGGAGGTATCTTCCTTACAGCAAAAGCGAAGGAAAAGAGTACAGAAGGAGTGGTTGTTTCAACAGGACCAGGAAAGACGCACCACGAAACTGGAGCCGTTTTTGACATGCCTGTGGAAGCTGGCGATAACATCCTTTTTGGGGAATTTGATGGAGAAGATATGACAATTGACGGTGTTAAGCACACACTTATTCAAGACGATGATGTCACAATAAAGTTCAAAGGAGATTCTCTTACTTTGGACTCAGTGGAAACACTTAGAGATGGGGTACTTGTCAAGATCAAGAAGCAGGACGAATCTTCCGATACAGGTATTCTGATTGCCAGGTCATCAAAGACGGAAAAGAAAGCTTCTGTAGGAGAAGTTGTAAAGGTCGGACCTGGACGTGTAGCAACAAATGGTAAACTCATGGAAATGGAAGTTGAGGTAGGAGACTTCGTCAAGTTCAGAGATTTCGCTACCAGAGCAGTTGTGATCGAGGATGAAACTTTCTCTGTTGTCCGGATGCAGGATCTTCTTCTTAAATTCTAATACAGTAGTGATATGAAATAAACAAAATGCATTGTGATGATTACCATTTTCCTTTTTCGTCTCCATCACATCTCAATCGTATTCAAAGTCCGTCATGCGTACGAAACAAAACGAAAACATTCTTCCATCTGGAAGCCAATATGATGACAGAGACATCAACATCTTTGCCGAAACTACAGTAATATAAGAGAGCATTGTCGAGTTTTCACCATGAGTCGATTGATATCTTTGATCGCGATTGTAGCACTATTTCAATCCGCTTTTGCTGCGCGGTTTTTGCACTTTGCATCACCGTTGCAAAGTCTGACGCTCCCTGATGCCGAAGTGAAGGAAACGCTTCAAACGAAACGACAGGGGTTTCTCTCCAAGTACAGGGCTGGGCTACAGGCTGAGGCGGATAAGCGTAGAGAGTTGGCTGCAAAAAGAACTAAGGATCTTCAGGATGCAGCCACTTCTGGCGACAACTGGGCAGAAAACATCAAATCGCGGCAACTAAGCAGAAGAGCACTCGAAGAGAAGCTAGTAGACGAAGCACATGACAAAGCCGTTGCACAAGTTAAGGGTCTAAAACCAGCGGGAAGATCATCAAACAAATACCAGTTCGTTGGGGTAGTGAACCGGAAAGGAGATAAGCCAATTACCTGGTTCGCCAGACCAAAGCCAGAGGATTCGAAATGGTCAGTTCGTCTGGTTCATGTCAACAGAGATGCTGTCATCAAGGATCTTTACAACCGCGGAAAGGTTGACATCTTCGCCAAATACAAAAATACCGGCAAAATTGATGAGGAAACCAAAGCACCAATCGTTACTAGCACCTACGACGTCAAGGAGCGATCTTGGAGGTAAGTTGGTTGGGTTTCTATAGAAATGCTTATGGAAGCAATCCACTCACGTCGTTTTTTGCGCGTTCAGAAATCTATGGAACTTCTCACCGAAACATGTCTTTACGGATCCCTCTGGAATGTACTGGCGTGAGCGTCGACTGCGCCCTGGTCTGTACACAGATGGTTTGAGTGTTTACGAATCATCTTACAGATATAGCGATGGACGCAACGGAATGCGCCGGGTATCTGGATTCCAGCAATTCATCGCTAGTAAAGCAGTGAAGGATGAGCAAAAGCAAAAGATCTTGAAAAAGCTGAAGGAGGCCGAACCTGATGTTGTTCTTGAGCTATAACAAAATATCCTATATAGACATGTCTAATTCAACTCAAAGTACAGCCATGCAAATGATTGTTCAATTAAAAGAATAGGTGCATGAGCACATAGAGGAACCAAAGAGGAACCGCGGGTTGCAATTTCCGTTGGTTGGATTGACTGATTGGATTGCTCAAGCCAAGCGTTTCTCACTACCAAAGACCGAAGACCAAAGATACAATCGATCAATAGCTGGAAGAATGGTCGAGGAAAACGACGAGACGAAGCCTGCCGACACCGGTGAGCCTGCACCTGCAGGAGATGTAGATCAAGATTCAGACACAGGTAGTGATGGCGGTTACGATGACTCAGGCGATAAATCGAATGAACCAGCACACGAAGAATCTTTTCCTGAAGAACCAGGTGTGAGCAGCAAAAGCATTCCAAAAGAACGATTTGAAGACGAAGAGAAACAGGAGGAGGAAAATGGACTGAACAGTAGTCCAAACAAGAAGGCCGCGAAAGAAGAGCAGAAAATGAATCCGAAGTTCAAGGATCTGCAAGAGACCGGCCGCTGGGGCGAAATTGGAAAGAAGGAAATAATGGTTGGTGCTGTGTTCGTCGTTCTTGCAGTGATTGGCGTCATCGTTGCTTTGGTGGTGACTTCTGGTGATGATACCCCAGCTACTATCGAAGCTCGAGTTATCCGACCAACAGGAAACCCCACATCCTCACCAACCAATCCTCCAGTAGCGGCCACTGTATTGATCGACATAGTTGTTCAAGCCCTAGAAAATAGCAGCAGCGTGTCGGCCATTGCCGATCCATCGTCTCTACCTAGGAACAGTGCGTTCTATGATGGTCTTGCTGATCAAGAGACAGCTTCAGCCCCCCAAAGAGCAATGAGCTGGTTATTGGCGACTCCCTATAATCAGTATGACAAGGATGTTATGGATGATTTCGTGATTCGGTTTGCTCTTGCATCCATCTACTACCAATTGGGGGGCGCAAGCTGGACAAGATCAGACAATTGGCTATCGAGCGAATCCATTTGCAATTGGGAGGGAGTTGATTGCGAAATTGGTGGAAGTGAGATTAGCGACCTTATTCTAGACCGCATGAACTTAAATGGAACGATCCCCAGAGAGATTGCATTGCTTCAGGGTATCAAGAAAATCTGGTTGTCCAACAACAATCTCAAGGGAGAAATCCCTGGAGATGCTTTCGGAGAGTTATCAAATCTTGCAGTTTTGTATCTAAATGGGAACCAGCTCACCGGTATGGTCCCTTCATCGCTGAATCCAAACCAAAATCTCAGTAAGTGAAACTGGATCTTTGGAATATATTAGAAATGTGTAGAAGCATTCTAACTATTCGTTTCATTGTACAGATACTCTTTACGTGCAGGGGAACAACCTCAGTGGGAGGTGGCCATTCTGCCCGACAATCTTTGGAGGTGCAAAGGTCATTCAGAGCTTTGGATTGGATTGCTTGGAAGATGGTGTTGGAGTTTTTTGCCAAATTGGTTGCTGCGACGACTTTGCTTGCTACTAGGTTAACATTGTATCATTCATTTCTTTCACGAGCTGATGAATACTTTTAAACTATGCAGCTCAAGTGTGGTAGTATCTAGGTTTTAAAATTTGATGTTTCATAACCAAAATGCAACTACTCGAAAACAACAAAATTCAGATTACAAGACGTGCCTGGATCCGCCACACATGGGACACTCAGCATCTGTCGCATTGTTGATGAAAGTACACTGGCTACATGTCCACGATTTGGCACGTCCACTGGACCGTTTGGGAGAAGCATAAGTGTCGACAGTAAAACTCTTTCCTTTGACGACAAATTCCTCGTCATCACTGTCACTAAATTCTTCTTGATCCTCATCCGATTCACAATCGCTCTCATCGCCCTTCACAACAGTTTTCTTTCTCTTGGTCTTCTTTTTCAATGCGGAAGGGGCATCATTTCTAGCATCAAATGGGCGTTTCTTCGATTCTTTATAACTCGCTTTGGCTTCTTCTAGTTTGGCTTTGAAAGCTTCGTCCTTGCGAGTCCGATCATCGTCAGCATTCTTGATTCGCTTTTCGGTTTCCTTGATTTGTCGCCTGGCAAATTGCAGATCCTTCCTGGCATCATTAACTTCTTCCTTCTCCTTTTCCACTCGTTCTTGCAACAAGTTCGCTTCCTCCTGTGCCTTCTTTGCCAAATCCATTGCTTTCTTGAGCTCGCGCTTGGTATGCTGCAAACGGTCATTCTTGAGCTTCAACTGCGTTTCCGCCACACATCCAAGTTTCTCTGCAATGAGAACGTAGTGCTCGTTTGCCTTTTGTTGCGGGGTGACTCTCTTCTGTCGGGGCTTTTTAGCGCTCGTGCCCTTGGCCTTTGGTGTCACCGTTTTGGCGTTCTTCTTGTCGTTGGTTCCAGCTTTTTCTGTCGCATCCGTCGGCTGTTTCCTTTGCGTTTCTTCCTGGACCTCCTTTAGTTGCTCCTTGTTGCTCTCTGCTTGCTTCGCAGTAGCCTTTTTCTTCGTTTGTTTGGGCGGTGATACGAAGGGTGCCCCTTTCGGTGGACTCTCACGACTCTCTTTGGTGCTAGCGATGACATGTTTATCCCCATCGCTAGTCTTCTCACCTTCATTTGGATAGGTCAGCTGCATTCTGGGCGTTGCAAACTCTTCGCTGTCGTCTCCCTCTTCTCCTCGATTAACATCCATCAATCGATCATTGATGGTACTCTTTTCATTGGGATCACCATCCTCGTCATCGGAAGAAACCACTTCCTGTTTGAAACTGCTGGCCGAGGAAGAATCGTCACTGTCCTCGTCACTGCTACTATTTCCATCGAGGTATTGGGTGCTACTAGGACGTTTCGTACTGCTGGGATGCTGAGTGCTACTGGGACGACTGTTACCATTCTTGGATTCCGATTGGGTCTGCTGTTGGTGGTCCCCATCCTCCTCATCGGAAGAATCATCGTCACGACGAAGGGCAGGTCGGTTGTGTTTGGATTTTCCAGGGCCATCTTGTACCGTAGAATTGCGCTCCAACGTTCTCAAATTCAAGGGTGTCAACATGGTACGAATACGTTCCATGGTATCGAAGGACTAAGCAACACAGTCACAGTTCTTTCTAACAAGTCTACAAACTATGGCGTTGCAGTGTTTGAGTTGCAGAGGAAGAAAAAATGACCGCGCCAAAAAATTGTCTGGTATATTTTTTCACGTAGGATTTTGTCGAAAAGGAGGAATGAAGTTTCGAATGTTCCCACCAACTGTTATATTGTTGTATTTGATTCAATACTGTTGGTGCATCGTGTCATACTGTACTGTAGCCCATTATGTACTGTAGCACGGCGAAAGATGTCAAGATACGGAGTAAAACTAGGTACATCTACATTATAGATGTATATATATATTTGCAGATCATTAAAAAAGTAGAGTCTTTGTCGCTCGTGCCTGAGCAAAAGCTTCAGCCTAGTATTGTTCTATCGCAGCATTCAAATTTCGCTAGGGAACGCAAAGTACTGTAGCTCTTTTTTCTTCGGGTTTGGTTTCATAATTTGCACCTTCCGCACTTTTTAAGTAATCCTTGTCAGTCCCAGTCGTATTCCTCCTTCCTCCTCGGCTTTGCTTGCATCGATCATAGTCCTTGCTTTTTTATTTCTACAACTTAGACGTCTATAGATGAGCCAATGAATACGGAAGAGTGACAATGCAGAGCGAGATCTAAATTCATTCAGCATCCCTCACATATTCGTTGAATCGCCTCCTCCGATACCTTGAGACGCTGATTGTTTCTTTGATTGACACCACACTTTTTGTATTTAAAAAAATCGTGACGCGAAATCAAGCGGAATATTCCAGGTGGTTCTCTGTACTGTAGTTGACCCACTTTCAACACGCTGACCGCATTTCCCTGACATGCACTTTGAAAACAGCTCTGGTATAATGGTAGTCACCTACACTGCGCTACATCGAATAATAATGTTTGAACGGAGTCAAAGTCCACCATCAAGTTTTTACTGTTTGGTTCCATCCTTTCTTCCATTCAGTTCATCCCAAACAAGGAGGTAGAAAGCGGTACATTACCGGTACCAGTACGTGTACCAGGTACCTTGCCTCGCCGGTACTGTAGCTTTCTCTTGATGGTTCATTTCGAGCAGTTGACAGCAACAGCTGTTCTCGTTTTCCAAAAAGCCTCTTCTCTCTACACCAGGCAGAACGTCTTGACACGAAGAATCATCGCGTATTCTTCCGATCAATCCTGGGAAGACTTCGTAACAGCCTTATCTGTACGTGTACCGGTAGGCGCGCGTATGATGCGAACAACTCAGTCGAATCGTACACAAATGCAACGTGTTGAGTCGTACTGGCACTTTGGTCGTCATGATACGCTTCGCTCACAAAACAGAAAAGTCACACAAAAGCAATTCAAACGTCTTTACTATTCAACACAAACTTTAACAAAACCAAACTACTACCACATATCCAATCATGGCCACTCAACTCGATCAACTCAAAGAACACACCATCGTTGTCGCCGACAGTGGTGAAGTCGATGCCATTCGCCGCCTAAAGCCTCAAGACGCCACGACGAATCCGTCGTTGATTTACAAGGCTGCCGGTATGGACTCATACGCCAAGATGATCGACGATGCAGTCTCATCTTCTAACGGTGACGTTTCTCTTGCTATGGACAAGGTCGCAGTCAACTTTGGAATTGAAATCACCAAAATTGTTCCAGGTATGTTTTATTCGTGAAGAAAATGTCTTTTTTGACGAAATGACGGTTCGAATGACTGACAAAATACGAATTGCCTTGAACTATCAGGATACGTCTCCACCGAGGTTGATGCCCGTCTTTCATTTGATACCGATGCTACCATCGCCAAGGCTCGCCAGATCATCGAGCTTTATAAAGAAGCTGGCGTTGACAAGTCCCGAATTCTCATCAAGATCGCTGCGACATGGGAGGGAATCAAGGCTGCCGAAATCTTGGAAAAGGAAGGAATTACATGCAACCTTACTCTGATTTTCTCCATTGCCCAAGCTATTGCTTGTGCCGACGCCGGAGTCACCCTGATTTCACCCTTCGTTGGTCGTATTATGGATTGGCACAAAAAGGAAGATGGAGTCGACGGATACCCTGGCCCCGAAGATCCAGGTGTCAAGTCGGTAACCACAATTTACAACTACTACAAGAAGTTTGGACATGACACCATTATCATGGGTGCGTCCTTCCGCAATCCCGACGAGATTGTCGAACTGGCTGGGTGTGACCGATTGACGATTTCTCCTGCCTTGTTGGACAAGTTGGCTGATTCCACGGAACCACTCACCATCAAATTGGATGCTTCCAAGGCCGCTAGTATGGATATTGAGAAGATCGATATCGACGAAAAGTCCTTCCGATGGATGTTGAACGAAGACCCTATGGCCACCGAAAAGCTTGCTCAAGGAATCCGCGGATTCACTGCTGATACCATCAAGCTGGAAAGTATCGTCAAGTCCAAGATAGAGGCATAAATCAGTTGATCGATTGATTTGTATTGTATTCCGCACGCTCGTGTTTGTGGGGAGCCTACAAATATTCAATGTCGAATCTAATACAAATCCATTCACACACGCACACACACGCACACACACACACACACACAATGAAGAACAAGATCAAGAACCACCATTGCACAACGCTTGATAACTATGATTACATTTATCACATGCACATTCGTTGATTTCTGAAAAATATAGATACAGAAACTTGTTACAACAGATAGGACTTGTTACCATCGATTGCATAGGCTGATTTTTTGGGATAGATAGGTACCATGGACCATGGTATGTTCCGACAAGGCCAATTGCTCATATCGGTACGGCCAAATTGAAACCACATTCTTCCGCCGACCAGAACAATGAAACAAGAAGGGTACTCAACAGTCGTACTAGTCATCAATGGCACGACTAACATGCGTTAGCTGAGTCACGCAACGCAAGATCTGTACGCCGCTCGGTGGATTGATTCGACTTGGCATTGCTCAAATGTCGGAGGCACAATAAAAAAGGCATCTCCATCCAGCACCTCCAATCAAACTTTGGATTGATTCCGACACACTTTTAGCATATAATCTCATAGACGCACGCAATGGCGAAAATATAGACCGTAGAACACGCATCGAGAGAGAGAGAGAGAGAGAGAGAGAGTCAGTCAGTCAATCAATCAATCAATCCTGAACGAACAAGCAAGAGTTATCCGGAAACACAAAAAGCATCAATCACAAGCATGACGCCATCCAGCCATGCGGAACGATCCTCCTCTAAAGCAACCTCCAAGGAAAGGTTTTCATCCTTTGACACACCCACCATTAATAATGAAAACGAAGAAAAGGCCTTTTCGGACGCCCCCATCAATATGGGACTCATCAATCAGCGCCGCAAAAGCATTCGAGATCGTCTGAATGCGACAGAAAGAAGAGAATGGATGCGACCGTATTGGCTTGGTTTTGGGCTCTTTCTGCTACTCTTTGCCTTTTGGTTGCTGGATTCTCTAAAAGATCCCATCTTTGCTCGCTTGGTCGATGGAAATCTCAATAAGCATCAACCACCGGCCAAACTTTGCAGTGTCGCCACTACACTTTTGCTGGTGTGTCTCATGGAATATCTTGCAAATGTTAGACAACGAAGTGATGCACAGAAGCGAAAGATAGTTCCTGATCCCGATATATTGGAAGATGAGGTTGGTGCTTGGAATCGTATGCCCATGATGGACGCAGCAGAACACCAAAAGCACCACGCTCTGGACGATCAAATTTCCATTTCGATTTTTGCAACCATTGGAATTCCATACGCTGTTGCCTTCACTGTTATTGCCTATTTGGTCTACAAATTTGAACAAGTTGAGGCACAAATAGAGGAAGGCGTCGATGTGTGGTACATCTTGGCATATGTTTTGTATGCAACAATCGAATCCTTTGGGTCACTGGCAGTCACCTGCTTTTGGTCGTATACCAATTCCTCCTTGTCATTACAAGACGCCGAGCAATATTATGGGACCATTATTGCTGTGGCCCAACTTGGAGCCATTGGTGGTAGTACCATGGTTGCGAGTGATCATTGGACAGCTCCATCGTTACTGATTGTGGTTTCGTTGGTGCTGGTGTTACAATTGATGATGATGAGGCTATATAACAGTCGCTTCAAGCCCACCAGTGTCTTGGCAAATGACGACGATGCAATATCACTCCGTACCTGGCAAGACGACAACGTTACCGTTACCAAACCTTTCTGGTCGGGAATATACCTGATACTACGGCACAATTATGTTCTCCTCATTTTGGGTGTTTCTTGTCTCTACGAAATCGCCTTGACCTGTCTCGATTATCAAATGAAGCTCTTGGGACTGGCCAAATTTGAAAAGTCCTCAAAAGAGGAGACCATGTCCTTTTCGGAATTCATGGGACACTATGGCCAAGTGGTCAACCTGACCAGTTTCGTCTTTTCCTCCATTGTTTTTCCATTTTTAATACGAAAGTACGGCTTGCGGATAACCCTTCGATTCTTTCCCACACTCTTGTTGGTGTTGACCCTTGTTGCCTACGGGGCGGCTCCTGGCAACTTGCCCGTATTGTTCTTTTCATTGTCCGTTTTGAAAGCCATGACGTACAGTGTGCACGATCCCTCGAAGGAAATCTTGTACATTCCGACTTCCAACGCCGTGAAATTTCGGGCCAAATTTTGGATTGATGTGGTTGGAGAGCGAATATCCAAAGCTATCGGGAGCGGTTTCAATACCCTTGCTGGTAACGTCGACCGTAGTGTACGAATTGGCAGTATCCCTAGTTTATTGTCGGCCATTGGATTGTGGATCGTCTGCTACTATGCAGGGATTGAATTTGATCGGTTGCTCGCGACTGGTCGAATAGTGGGCCTGGAACATGGGGTGGACCCATCCACCTACAAGAGAATACCAAACGTGGATGACGACAACGACGATGACGACATGGAAATCACCTTTGACGAAAACGATGTGGACAATATCAGTACACTGGATTCGTTGCATGATAGAATACAAGATAGAGGAGCTCCACAAAATCCGCACATTGTGGAGCTTCCAAGTTTGGTGGTGCGATTATGACACAATATTTTATAGCAGTATACTATTGTGACGAATGATATTAAAATAGAAAAATGCATGTCTATTATGTATAGTGTGAGTCCTAGAGGCCAAAATCGCCATCGAATCATTGGTTTCTCGCCCCGAAAGATTTGTAGCACGACATGTCTTCGCAACATTCTTCAGAGCATGTGATCTTATCACAGTCGAAACCATACCTTTCGTACTTCTTGGTCTCGTTGCTAACCAAACGACAGAATGGCCATGGTCCAGTGAGGTTGTTTTCCTGGACATAGAGAATTCCTGTTTTCGAATAACATAAACACAAGGATATTAATGTCAGGAACCCCGGTGCTGAATCCAAAGACAAAGATAATCCAAGAATGACGCCACTTACCAAGATTTGAAAGACTTTCAGGAACCATTCCTGACAGCCGATTGTTGTCCAAAAACAAAACGGCTAATTTCGACAACTTGGCAAAGGCTGTTCCAGGAATGGTTCCCGATAATTGGTTATCAGACAACCAAATATTGGAAACATTGCCCAACATTCCAATAATTGAAGGTAAGGTTCCCACGAGATTATTGTTGTCCAGATTTAGTCCTTGGAAATGTTGTTTGTTTCCAAGGTCACATTCCACCCCAAACCAGTCGCAGGTCTTGACACCTGTCAGCCAATTGGTCGTATTCTTCCAAGCCTCCCCACCCAAGTCAAAATATAGTGAAGATAGAACAAATCGAAGAAAGAACTCGTTACGAAGGTCATATGTATCTGAAAGAAACCACTTCATGGCTCGATGGTAGGCTGGACTGGATTCGTCGTCAGCAACATTGCCATAAAAGCTAATGTCACTTGGCATCTCAATGAAACTATGATTTCGTTCTTGAAGAATACCCAGGATAGCATCTAGCTTGGCCCTTTCACGGGAGACTTCCGATTCCTTGGCAGTGGAAAAGGAGATCCAAGACAAGATGGCAGCGACCGAAATGACAATCAGGGTTCCACAAACCAATAGGCCGTAAATCTCTTTGCGTTGAAGCTCTCCCCATCCACCAGTCTCTTCCATATCGCGAAAGCGAGGGTTCTTTTGAGGATTAACAGGGACATTGGCCCCTTCATCCCTGAACTCGGTGGGATCTTCACCAGCCTCGGTGAGTTTGAGAATGTCTTCCAAAGGATCTTGAACATGGTTGTTGTCGATTGCAGTGCTCATGTTGGATTTTTGCTTGAATGCAGTGGATCCTTCGTAGGAATAATCCTTGGTAATTTATGTTCGTGATAAATTCATCGTTATCATCGCGACCGTTTGCAGATGGCAAGCATTCGCAGTTGTAATCCAGTCTTGGTTGAATTGCAAACCTTCCTCATCGTCAAATCCCGTGGGATTTGTCATGTGGTGGGAATTTTAAAACGTGATGTGTCGAAGAAGTCGATTAGTTGAAAGTTCTCTTGGTATGGTAGGTACCGGTACCGGTATGCATGGTCTTCGTTGTAAGAATCTTTTAGGCTCTGTTCGTGAATTTTTCAATTAGGATGTGTGCGACGTTTTTGGCTTATTGACCGGTCCAGTTACGACTAGGATTGCAATAATTGTGAGAAAAATATATGGCAGAATACTTGGTATTCGTGGCTGAACAGTTATGGCTCAAAGGTAGACACGCTGGCTACGCGGATTGGATGGATCCAAAGCCGTGCAGTTTTGACCCACTTTTTCTCACGTAACAATAGAGACTTCACACTTAAAAAGTCACCAAAAATCTCGAAGAAACAGTACCTACTATACACACATACAATCAAACAGATCGATTCCAAAAATAATGTCTTCCAGCAACAACGGCGAAGCAACTAGGTCCATCAGCAAGGCAATCCCCTTGCATATGATTGGTCCATATGACATTATTTGTGGAAGATCCAGTGATGCTTACAACAACATTGGCAACCGTCGGTTTCGCATCACAGTTCGAATGTTTCAAAAGAAATATCAAGACCTGGATGGACGGGGTCAACGTAAGGATTTTATCAACGACCTAACCAAGATAGTGCGAAATGATATAGGCTTTCGATTCCTTAAGGAAAAGGATGGTCAATACTTTGATATTGGTGATGTGGAAGCAAGAAAAAAAATTGGGCATGCACTGTTGGATCACAACATGAAGAACCGAAAGGGTGCCGACTCTCTCAAAGCTCTCTTCAGTCAAAGGTTCGACTACAAGCAAATCCCATGCAAGCTCAATGCCAAATGTCTGCCAAGCAGTCTCAAGAGAAAAACATCCTCATCTTCTCTCAATTCCACATCTACATCATCCACATCATCCACAGCCTCCAACACAACTACATCTTCCAGCCTATCAGAATCTTCCTCAGGCCAGTCTCTGCGGAACGAGAATAAAAATTCATCCAAATCCTCTGACATCTCGGCCTTGGAGTCAGATGTCTGCATGTCATTACTAGGCTTGGCATCGGTTGGAATGGGAGTTCAATCGACGACACTACAATAGACGATAGCCAGCTACTAGTCTAGCTACTGTGCAGTAGGCAGTAGCACTATTCTTTCATAACTACTCAATTTTGAAACCATACAACTTATGATGCCCTTTCTTCGTACCATACTATGCAATGTTTCCTTGAATGCCGGTACCGGTTGGCTGTACAGTAGTTGGATGGGAGATCGATGAAGATACAATACGACACATTGCAGATCTTGAAGGATTGGTTAATCTCAGATTTCCTCCACCTCCTCACTCTGAACTCCGGGTCCTCGTACATCAAACTCGTCCGCCGTCTGTCTGACAGCGGTTATATTCAAATTCAAACGGGAAAGTGACGAGTGTCAGTTCAACTCGCAAACAGCTCCATCTTCTTCATTCTGCTGGGTGCTGCATCCAAGGAAGACGAGCACACAAATGCCTGATAAAACGGCTCATCATGCTTTTGGATCGTATCGACACTCCTCCACGCGATATTCCAAAGATGGAGTAGATACTCGATTCCAACAAAATGACCACACCACCACCACAAATGATTCAAAGTCGTCTCTGCCATTGAACAAGAAGAAGGTCTGCAAACGAAACAATACAGTCCGTCTCCCCAAGCACTCGGAAATCGTTGCTCTCGATTGTGAAATGGTTGGTGTTGGTGAAAAGGGACGAACATCGTCTGCTGCATGGATTACCATAATTGATTTTTTTGGTAACACTATTTTGGACCAACATATTTCCCAAGACGAACCCGTCACCGATTACCGTACCGAAATTTCCGGTATCACGGAACAAGACCTACAGGCGGCAACCATCACTCTCAACGAATGCCGCGAATTGGTTCTCAACATTCTTCAAGGCCGTATATTGGTGGGCCACTCCTTGAAATCGGACTTGAACGCATTGGGAATTGCCCAGCACCATCATCCCTGGTGGTTAATTCGGGACACCACTCGATACACTCCGTTTCTACAAGACCGCAATAGGAGTCTCATGCCACGGAAACTGAGGGATCTAGCCAAGGAATACTTGCATCGAGACATCCAAGTGCCTGGCATGGCTCACTCCCCCTATGAGGATGCCCTTGCATCATTGGACCTGTACAAGAGTGTCCGACCGAAATGGGAGGCTGTCATGATATTCAAGGTGAAAAAAACTCGAAAAATACAACGAGAGCAACAGACACGTCAATAGACTTCCTCGGTTGCAAACGATCAAACAATCATCACGATAATCACATCGTGCAAATGAGCTGTAGCATTAGAGTGTAAGTGATAGCACATCAATGATCTTAGTCTTGTCGAAGTTATGAGTAGTACGGTACAGTAGTGCTGATGGAGATTTTTGTTCGAAAATACTGTACGGTAGGTACAATACCGGTACGCTTGAGTGGAGGGAGAAATCGGGGAGAATTTTTGTAAAATATTGTGTAGTGGACGGACAGGCACCACTTATGGCAAAGCCAACGAAAATGAAAAATAATAGGAGTGAAACAAATTTCTTTGAACACAACAGATACCAATCCGTCCTTGCTTTTGAGACGACCAAAACAAAACATGAGGCCGCTGACAGAAGAAGAAACGAAGACACTGTTCCTAAAATTATCCGAATATATTGGAAAGAATGTGGAACGAATGATCAATCGAAGCGACGAGCGACACTGCTTCCGTCTCATGAAAGATCGATGCTATTACATCAGTGAGACACAAATGAAGGCAGCCAATAATATCAGCAGAGACAATCTTCTTCATGTTGGAACCTGTATTGGAAAGTTCACAAAGAGTGGTAAATTCCGAATGCACATTACTGCATTGGAATACTTGTCACAATACGCCAAGGTAGGGGATTCTTCTTCATGTCCCACTTCGTTGTTCTTTGGTATCCATTTTTCCATTCATAATGATACAACCTCACCACGATTTTTGTCTTTTCCATACAATTGTAGTACAAAGTGTGGGTCAAACAATCATCAGAAATGTCATTTTTATACGGAAATCACATCACAAAAAGTGGGCTCGCACGTATGACGGAAAATACACCACAATATGCCGGGGTGGTTGTGTACAATATGCAGGATATACCGCTCGGCTTTGGAGTTGCAGCTCAAACAACGGAATATTGTCAGAGCTTGGAGCCGTCGGGAAATGTAGTATTACACCAAGCAGATATTGGTGACTATCTTCGGGGTTTGGAAGATGAAATGTTTTAGATTTTCAAATTTACACAATACAATGCTGTACGACGCTCCTTGATGTATCTACTTTCGTTTACCATGCATGCTGACTATTGAGGTGCAACTAGTCTGTAAAATATCCATGTGGACCACTGTGACTGCTAATTGTGTACATTGCTCGTCCTATAAAATTAATTGTACACCATGTATTTCGGGGTAGAGCTGAATTTCTTGTATCCCTTGATCACCTTGTTGACGGAATCCAAAAAGTCCTTCTCACTCACGCTCTTTCGGCGGGCGCGAATGGCAAACATTCCGGCTTCTGTGCATACAGAGTGCAGCTCAGCTCCTGTTGTGTTTGGGCAAAGTCGAGCAATCAGCTCGAATCGAATATCCCGATCGCAATTCATTCGCTTGGAGTGAATCTTCAAAATGTGACCACGTCCTTCAAGATCTGGCAATCCGAATTCGACCTTACGATCCAATCGACCTGGACGCAAGAGCGCAGGATCCAATGTATCAGGTCTGTTTGTTGCCATCAGAACCTTGATATTACCACGAGCATCGAAACCATCCAATTCGGTAACGATTTGCAACATCGTTCTTTGAACTTCATTGTCGCTTCCATTCTCGTCTGATCCTGTACGGGCTCCTCCAATGGCATCGACCTCATCGAAAAATACAATACAGGCTCTCTTGGACCGTGCCATTGTGAACAGCTCTCGAACCATTCTAGCCCCTTCTCCGACATACTTTTGAACCAATTCTGACCCAATCACACGGATGAAGCAAGCATCAGTTCTATTTGCTACAGCACGGGCCGTAAGTGTCTTTCCTGTTCCTGGGGGTCCATACAGAAGAATACCCTTTGGTGGATCAATTCCCAAAGTAACGAAACGTTCTGGGTGAAGAAGAGGCGTCTCCACTACTTCTCTGAGCTTCTCCAGTGCGTCTTTAGATCCTCCAACATCATCATAAGTGACATCAGGCTTGTCCTCAACAGTCATCAAACTAACAGTAGGGTCAATCTTTGGTGGCAAAGGAATTTGAATGGAGTACTTGGTTCGATCGACTCCTACTCTCATTCCCTCTTCAATATCAGTTGGTGCAACCTTTTCGCCCAATCCAACCACAAACTTGGCAATTTGCTTCACGTTGATGACATATTTGTTTCCACTGACACTGGGGTTCATGGAAGGCACACCACCTCCCGCAGACGATGAGTTGTTCTCCGCATCCTCAGTAATAATTTTTGTGCATCTGGCAACTTGCAGGGGGGCTTCCTCTGACATCATTTGCTTATCTCCGACCAAATCCCACATGGAAGGAGGCGATAATCCCGTGTCTGATTCTTTGATTCCAATCAAGTCCTTGACAGTTTGTTGATTTGTTTTGATTTCTTCCTCCAAAGTTTTGATAAGACTACTGTATGGCCCAAGACCGTAAGATTTCAAAAGAGCAATATCGCCCTCATCAAGAGGGGGTGGAGCGTCCTCTTTGTCTTCCTGAAAGATTGAATGAAGAACACGAAAGTGAGTTGAGGCTCGCTTTACAAAGAACAGAGACCCACTCAAGATAAGTTCTTGTTCAACTTACATCATCGTAGTCGCCTTTATTGGTTGTTTGGCACTCTCCAGAACTCATAGTTTGTTCAAGTCTCGATTTCTATAGATTGGATTGATATATGAAGCCCTTGATATCGAATGAAAGCTGAGGATGATTTTTGATGATTATTATCCGTTTCATTTGGTTTCGGTCTGAATAAGTTCCTTGCTTCCGAAGCTTTCTTACGGACACTTGCATGTCCGTAAATATTTCATGTGTGTCCGTTCGTTGACATTTTCGACGACCATCAATAAAATCCAAGAAATTCTAAAAGTGAAATACAAGATCATTATCATACTGGTTGCATTCTGGAACTACGGTAACTACCAATCCTATTGCGGTCCTGCCTTTTCGTTCGACCAGCAGCATGGCCGAGGACTTGGACGATTTCTTTGACGATGTGGAAGTAGCTGAAGCAAAAGTGGCAGAGGAAACTGAAAAGGAACCTCCTCCAAAGAAACAAAAGACAAAACCGGAAGATGATCTCGATGATTTCTTCAACGAGGTGGAAGAATCCGTTTCCAAAGTTCAAGAAGAGGAGGTGAAAGAACCACCTACGAAAAAAGTAAAAACTGCCCCAATTCGACCTCGAGGAATGGTGGTCGCGGCATCTAGTTCTGTGGTGTTGAACAAGAAGATTGATGAAGATGAAGAGGAGGCCGAGCTCAATGCTGCCCTTGGCATTGACACTCAACCGACCGTGGCAGCTCCTCCAGCTCTTCCTCCACCACCAACATCATCGGTGCAATCTAGTAATGTTGGAACGCCTGGGGCACCCCCGCCGCCACCGCCACCATCCAATAAACAAAAAAAGCCAGTCAAACGAATGGCAGGTGGCCAAGTCTGGGAAGATCCTTCTCTTGCAGAATGGCCCGAAAACGACTTTCGCATTTTTTGTGGCAACTTGGACGCAACAGTTACTGATACACAACTACATGATCACTTTAAGAACTATCCAAACTTAGCCATGGCCAGGGTTGTGAAGGATGCAAGTGGAAACAGCAAAGGGTTTGGTTTTGTATCTTTCCTTTCCCCTTTATCTTGTGCCAAGGCCATCCGAGAAATGGACCAGACATGGCTTGGTTCCAGGCCGATCCGAGTGAAACGAAGCGATTGGAAAGATCGAAATATAAATCAAGTAAAGAAGAAAAACAAACAACGAAAAAAACGGGGGTTCTAGTTGGAGATGTAAATGCTAAAGGGAGAGTGTAATTTGTTTGTCTGGCATATGCACGTCTCTATTCCTTACAGTAGTACATTTCAAATTTGTGGGCGTACATCTCAAATTTGTGGGCGACCACAAAGGCTTCTTCCGCGTGACCAATTTGATGAGATATGGTTCCGATGCGCCAAGCTGATATACGATGTTGGCTATTCTCAGCATTATGTCGGACCGAAATACAGAGAGAACCACCACAAGATTCCTGTGTTTTGTGGTGGCCAAACTGCCGAGCCAAATGTTGGTAGCTCTGGTATCCTTCTCATGCGTTGGTCCATCTCGCTTTTACGATCGTTTTTCCGCCGGTTTTCCAGTTTGCAGGTGCTTGGAAGGTGGTTTGGATGTCGATTCAAGGGTGATGGGATTGGTAGACACCGAGGATGAGGTGAGTCATTTGTTGGGTTTATGCTTGGTCTAACTTGATAACAAATCTCACTTTCTACACGCGCAGGAATTGATCAAGGTTGCCTATGACATAAAAGAAGGAAAGGGCCCGGATGAAAGTCTATTCTATTTATATAGATGCAGCAGCGAAAAGGAATACTGTATCGAACATAAATATATATAAAGTCTATCTCAAATCTCGTCACCTCAGTCAAGCGTTTCAAGAAATTCCCTAAGTTTGGCCAGATACTCGGCAAGTTTCCCACGTCCCTCAGTAATGTCATTGTGACCACGGTCGGGGACCCACCAAGGAGTGCGTTTGAGATGGTCTGGAACTGCGTTGTGAAGTGCTTCTCCGTGAGCAATGGGGACCTCTTGGTCTAATTTTCCGTGAATCAGCATGACTGGACATTTTGCTTTGGAGATTCGATCAATATTGGGAAAGATATCCAAACATCCCAAGATGCTGCAATCAGAAAGCCAACCGACGTCAGAGGAAGATCATGAGGAGGAGCCATTTACGAGCCAAATTTGATTTACAAACACTTACCGGCTGGGTGTCTGCAATCAGAAAAAAACGACACCAGAGGAACACCGTGAGACGGAGCCAAATTTGATTTGCAAACAATCATAACAAAAATTTACCAGGACTCGCATTCCACTCATAAAAGGGCTGTGCAACACCATTCCTCCAAGCCCTTCCGTCTTCATCCCCAAATGGCAAGATGGCCCACTACCAACCGACTGGCCGTACAAAATCACCTTCGATTCGTCTCCATCGCACACTTCTTCTATCGTCCATTTCACGACACCAGCAATGTCTGTGTATGTGTTTTTCTCCAACGGCATACCGCCACTTTCGCCGTATCCCGAATAATCATAGCTAACAACGTTGCAATTCAGGCTATTGCAAAGGATCGCTTGCAGCGGGAACATTGCTCCAATATCGGTCGCGTTTCCGTGGCTAAAGACAAGCGTCTTCGTTCTGTCGGATCTCACCTTCTTTGGGCATCTATATACAATGGCAGCACAATAGGATCCACTCTTTGTTGGAATTTTGACGGCCTCAATTTTTCCTCCCTTGAACTTTGGAGGTTGTAATCTCGAGTCAAGAACGAGTTTGTATTCAACACCATCTTCAGCATCCTTCTTGTCTCTAGCATTACGTTTCTTTGCGCGCTTCCGCAGTTCCTTGGACTTTTCAGTCAATTGTTTCGCCGGTGATTGCATCTCCTCCTTTGCTTCTCCTTCTTTTGGCTTGAACGTTCCATCCTCAACACCAGCATCGTCGTTTTCGCCACTCTTTTTATCCTTCTTGTCTTCTTCCTCGTCCTCATCGTCAACAAAGTCAGGGAGGTTGTTTCCTTCTTTGTCACGGCGTTGAAATTTGTACAGTGGGGGATCTGGAGGAAAGAAGGTCAAAGCTCCTGCAACAGTTCCTTTGCTGAAGCCACTCTGGACCCACAAGCAGAAAAGTGCATTGACTGCAGCGGGACAGCAGCAACACATTATTTTTGGCTGTTGATTGTATCTTTGTTTCTGCTTGGTAACAGGTTGTTGTTATTAATATACTATTCCACTAGTATTACACTATGACAACCTCGTTGATGTATTAATATTTTTTACTCGAATCATCGAAGCGTTTTGTTGTCATTTTGGATCCCTCCGCGCAAGCGGAGCTACAGTTGCAGGAAGACCGTTTGATAAAAATTCAAATAGCGAAGAAAGCGGAGGTACCAGGTACCGTACTGTATGTCCTACGATATTATTTTACTGTAAAAAATGCAGTAGACATGATATGATACTATAGAAAGGTATTAATACAGTACTGTATGATCTAGTAATATTGAAACTACGGTTAGTTTCCTTCTAAAAGTTACTGTTCTTCTACTACTATTAGCTCTTCTTCTTTGTAGCCATGAGGATTCGTCGATTGCCATCGCCAAGTATCCTCGCACATCTCTTCCACACCAAGCTCTGCTTTCCAACCAAGTAGCTTTTGTGCAGTAGATGGATCTGCATACATGGATGCTACATCGCCCGGACGGCGTGGCGCAACCTTGTACGGCACTGGCTTCCCAGTAGCTTTCCCCATTCCTTTCACTAGTTCTAGAACTGACACTCCCTTTCCTGTACCTAGATTCACCGCTTCACATCCAAGTTGCGACGTGTACAACTTATTCAATGCTGCCACGTGGCCCTTTGCCAAATCCACCACATGAATGTAATCTCGAACACCTAATCAAAATGGTGAGAAAAGTAGACGCAGTGAAACCAAGATTTTCACAGCGATGAATCGAACCTACCAGTTCCGTCAGCAGTATTGTAATCATCCCCGAACACGCTTAATTCCTTCCTTCGTCCAACGCACACTTGGGCAATAAATGGCATCAGGTTATTGGGAATTCCTTGTGGGTCTTCGCCAATACGCCCAGATGGATGAGCACCAATGGGGTTGAAGTAGCGAAGGATCAATACGTTCCATGTGTCATCGGAAGCATGGCAATCTCGAAGAACTTCCTCGACGAAGAGCTTCGTTCTTCCATATGGATTGGTTGCCTGCAATCTTGCTTCTTCCCGCAATGGTAGCATTTCTGGTTCTCCATAGACAGTCGCAGATGATGAAAATACAAATCGCTTGATATCCCGAGCACCTAGTTCCTCAAGGAGACTAACAGTGCCACCAATATTGCAGTCATAGTACATCAATGGATTTGTAACTGATTCTCCTACCGCTTTCAGTCCAGCAAAGTGAACACAAGAATCAATCTCTGGAAACTCGTCGAGGACTGATTCATTCGAACATAGGACAAGCGAAATTAGGAATGTTTATTAGACCTCGCAAAAAAAGCTCATGCTGGAGCAATTACCTTTCCTCAAACGTTCTTTGTCTCGAATATCACAATTTCGGAATTGGAGACGTTTGGGGTCGCACCCTGTTAGTTCCTTGACACGCGAGAGACTCTCTTCGGAAGAATTGTCGAGACTGTCCACAACGACGACATTATAATCTGGTTGATTCAGCAGTTCCAGGCAGGTGTGGGATCCAATGTAACCAGCTCCACCGGTGACAAGGACTGTTCTTGTTCCAGTGCTGGGAGTTCTTGATGCTAGGGCAAAGATCGACCGTGCTGAAAGCAGAAGAGACACCAAGATAAACTTGAAATGATAGAAACGTCGAGGTCTTGTCATCATCGCTCAGTTGAATACAACTTTATAGAAACTATCCGCAATTGCAATTGACTCGCGAGCGTTTGAATCTCCAAACTGTTGATTTGGGTTTTCTGTCTTTGGGGTGGTGTCAAATGTCATACCGGTACAGTAGGTAAGGTGTATTGAAGTGGATGCTCATAAGAAAACTGAAACGTCACACACACCAATCCATCTTAGTCGAACCAGTCGTCCTATTCGTACGAAAACAGACTACTGTAGTCGTCGAAAACAGCAGCAAAAATTATTGCAGACAGGACAACAAACAATCTTCCACTGTCGTTGAGCCTGTTAATAAACGCAAGGAACCAGTAATCATGCCGTGGCAATCAGTATCGTCTCTCTTCGTCGTTGGAGGAATGTTCAACGTCGTCGCCGGACTTATGGGTGGAATCCATTACTTGTCTGAGGGGGTGAGTACACAATTAATTTACAGTTCGGACAAGTTTGCAGACTTTTGCGTTCCAGATACATCAAAAGTTGATGGGTTGTGATTCCTTGGCTCGTTTGTTTTGGAAATGAAATTGGATGCACTTCCGGACTTCTAGGCTGTTTTGCTAGTAGCAATCGCTTTTGGACAGGACTATATCGTTCCGCTGATCGTGTTTCATTTACCGTCTCACTGAACTTTCCTGTTTCTTGTCAACAGAAATCCAAAGAGCTGGGAATGTGCGAAAACGATTTCAAGTATGGCATGGAGAAGCGAGATATAACATACAATAAGTTTGCTGCAGAAGTTCGGAAATCCATGAATTGATTTTGAATGGAGATACTTGGAACTTGATGCTACACCATGATGGCAGGTTCTATGTTGTGGTGCCATGCTCGCTAACTCTACTGAAGCCACATCCCAACATCGATCCTAGTCTAGAGAGATAAGATAGAATCTGTGCTATTCAATTACAGATCCTTTTCTTTTGTTTATATTGTCTCATCTCTTCCACAGACGGCCAAGAAGTCAACTTTGTAAACAAATTGGTTGTCACGTGTTCAGCGTGCCCACCAATCACCCATGGCTCGTCACTTGCATCGATTGATGGTACTGTACTGGTATGTGGATATCCGGTTTTGGTAATATCTTGAGGGCTCCCATTCACAAGGGTTTTGAACGAATGTGATATGATGTAGCATCATTCATACTTATCCTTGTTTTGGGCATAGGCAAGAGTTCAGCTGTAAACTCCAACAGCAGTGGCGTGGTTGTAAAGTTTCTAAGCTTTTAATCTAGTGTTACAATTTGTAAGTGTTACAAAATCTGTAGCGCAAAATTCTCATATTTCTGCGAAATCGGTGCCTGGAGGCAATACGAGAGTATCCAACAGTCCATCATCGCCAGACCGCGTATTTCGAAAGGTTGGTGACCCCGAGCAAGTCGACGAGGGAACGGTAGTGATTGTGCCGTCTTGTGCCAACTTCAAAAAGTCAGTAGGCTTCATTTGTGGCGTTCGCAGGACGTCGTCCTCCTTTACCAGCTCATTCCAGTAGTCTTGTTCGTTCCTTCTAAATACAGAAACGAATTCTTCCGATTGGGTTGAGGCTGTTGACTTTGTCTGACAGCTATGCCTCGTATTTGTACTTCGTCCTTCACGGCTTAGACTATGGGGGGCCAGAGTGCCTCCATTGCGAACAACCGTTTGCTTCCATGACTCCTCAACCTTTAGATTTGGATCTTGTGTAAGATCTGACCGAATCCGCGAGATGCCATCCATTGCTGAATATGCCAATGCCATATCTTCAAGTGTGTGTGCGGAAATAGCACTGATGCCATCGTCAAACGTTGCGTTCTCTGGAATGACATTCTCAAAAACTGGGCCATTAGTTGATTGAATTTTGGTTGTAGTCGTGGTAGTGGTCTTGGATGGAGAAGACATGGGGAAAAGTCCTGGAATCTTCATTGAGGAAGAGGAGGATCGTCGCGACGAAGATTGTTTCTCTTGCAAATGCTCCACAGCTTGAGAAACATCCTTAGGATACAACATTTCTGGACTGTTTCCATCAGAAGAACTGCTAATGTGCTTCTTGAATTGAGATGGAGTCATCGAATCAAAGTCTGGTTCACCGGCATCGCGAGATCCAGTTGTGCAGGCACCAAACATCACCCTCAGAACGGATTCTGCAGTAGACTGCACACCTGCTTCTTCCTTTTCAACTTCAGAAGAACGTAAGTTTGTCATGGACGACCAAAATTGAGTTGCGGAAGCCTGAATATTGTTCATTCTGCTGGATCCTTCACTATCATTAGAATTCGACATGGTAGATGGAATGATGCTATGAATTACGAAGTTATCGAGGATACTCCTGTCAACCGTGAGTTGTGTGTGTCTCAGCTTTTCGACTCGGCAGTTGGTTGATTTGTGAGTGGGAGATACACGATTTGAAAACAAAGCGCCTGTCCGTGTAAAAAATAACGGCACTATGAAGCAGGGGATTCGCTTCCGTTCAAGCAAATACACCGTACATTTCTGTACCTTTTCGATTACCCCTTCTAAAGGTGAGAATTTCGAGCGGGCCATTCTTGTAGACAAAGCTTTTTGGCGCCTCCAAATTTTCTGAGTTTTCTTTTCTACCTATGAAAGACTCGATCGCCCGATGTTGTCCGATGTTACAGAAAGACTAAGCTACTCCCCCTAATTTGGCATTTCTGCTGTAAGTTCAGGCTAGTGCTTTTAAAAAACGATGTAACTGTAATGAAGATCTAACACACTTAGTCCACTAATTTGCTACGGTAGTTTCACATACCGCTGTAACTTCCAGTGAACAAACGACGAAACTTTCAGGGGTATACCTGGCGTATGTTGATGTTTATTCTGTGACCCCTCAAGTATTCATTTAGACAGTGCAAATCCTCTTCTAAAATCTCTGACAAGGCTTCTGCTTCAGGTTCTTCGTCGTTCTTGATGCTTGCAACAGTTACCCTTTGAGTATCACCCGCGCAATGAATTTGTTTGGCATCTAGTAATTGGACGTT